GTTATGAATTTCAGTCTAAATATCTTCGCAACAATTTTCATTGATCACAGTCTCAAACTAGAAGAAATGAGCAGGTTGACTGACTCTCCATTTCTCCTTCTTCCCGAAGACAGAAAATATCCAGAATTAGTTTTGCTTGAGTTCTCATGATTAACCAATGTGCTCGGAACTATCTGTCCATTTTCGATCTTTTCAGCTCCGAATAGTGTCGGATCATTTTCATGATAGTAAATTTGATCCAGCAATTTATTTTTCCACATCCAGAAAATTGTCGGCACTCCAAATAATACGATAATAACGCACTGGGCTAAGCTGGCAATATAAAACGAAGTCTGGTTATAAATGAAACCTCCAGTTATAATTTGACCACTGGTTATACCAAGGGCGAGCCAGCAATTCAGCCCAGTTACGACATAGATTTTGACCGTTTTTGGATCGTGAACCCCAATCAAAATCGAAGCTTTTTCTGTAACAATGTAACTACCGGTATAAGCTCCAGCTATACTGAACCCTAGTAAAACTAAAGCTGTGTAGAAAAAAGCGGTATTATGAGCTCTTGGGCAAATTTGGGGTAAAAATAACATAAAATATCCAATTGATGAAAATATGATGGCTGAAGCGTAGAATTTACCTCCAAAACCACGGTCTATAAGCATCCCCATAAAAGCACTGGCAATTGTGGTAACCCCGAATATTGCGAAAAAGTACTTCGCATTTGCTTCTGAGCCAACATTGAATTCTTCAAGAAGGAAAGGGCCAAGGGCTACGCTTATGAACCCGAGAGATGAATTAACAGTCGCTATCGGCAAACACGAGAGAATAACTGGAACCGATGTTAAGTATCTGAGAGCCGAGATGTTTCTCGGTTCCTCTATTGTAAAATCAGACCCCGAGGAACTAGTTGATGATGACTCGTGTAAAAGCCGAGATTCCTCTTGCGGCTCTAAATTTTTGCTTCCATCATTCAATATTTTGGCCGTTTCGGACAACGATTCGAAACTTGGGACAAGAATTATGCATAAAATGCCGATCAGAATTTCAACAGTTGCAGCGAAAATGAAAGGCCAAGAAAACCCTCCCATAGCAAATAAATAATTACCTATAAAAGGTCCGATCATTTGGCCCGCACCATAAGCTGATTCGATCAAACCCGCAATCAAGCCTTCGTTTTTTGGGTAAAATGAGGCAATATTTGAAAATCCAGTACCCCAGGTTCCGGCACTGTAGAATCCAATCCAAATCCGGCATAATGTGGAAATAGTTGCAAAAATTTGTCCTCCAGGTCCAAAAGTCAGTTGAGAGAAACATAAAAGCGAAATTCCGACAACTAAAGCACCAAAAGTGAAAAAATATTTCTGGTTAAGCGCATTGGCGCTCGCCATCACTACTATACAACCCACAAGTCGGGCTAAATATTGGGCTCCAGTCGTAATTCCGATCATCGATTGGGACAGACCCTTTTTGCTGGCTTCTTCGGGGTAAAATGGTCCATTTAAACTCATTTGAAAGCCTTCGGCAAAAAATAAGGCAATACATGCCGAAATTCGGATGAACGTTAACAGATTTTTGCAACTCATTGTAAGAAGTTGAGATTGAAACAAATTTCAAAGTTATAGAGTTTAGTTTGGCATTAAATAGAAATTGATTATAGAAAGCGGTTTGACATTAAAAATACGTGCCGTAGCGTTGCTAATTTTCAGATTAGGAGATTTTCATCTGCTGGCTTGTTAATAGGTAACTATTTCACATTTTAGAATTAGTTGAATATACATATTCATTTTCGCGATCAATGCTCTCTATGTTTTGACCTTTGTGGAAACCGATTTTAGACGCCAATCAATTAGAATCTTTACAAGGCGCTGAGTTCTTTCATCTCAATTAACTAAAACCAGATAACCAAAACAAAGACACAGCACATCCAAATCTCGGATTTTGGATCCAAATGAAATTTCCGGCCTTTTGACGCCAATCAATTTAGATAACGATGAAGTTTACTTAATGATGCAATTAGCAAGTTGAAGCTGACTACTACGCCTATGGCGTGTAATGAACATGTTTGGCTTACAAAAGTGTTTCAAAATTGAAGAAGCCACGCCCAAAATAATTTTAGAGAGCAAAATGGATTTCAAAAAATTTTGAACTGTAACATTGATTTTTTTTACGAACATTTGAAAATTGTGGAGAAATCATGTTTTCGGGTGTGTTTTAGTTTTTGATCCGAGCATTGAAAATGGGTAGGAACTTTGTATTCGGACGTATTTTACTTTTTTTCTTTTTGTTTTCCACGCAAAATCAGATCATTGGACTGCTTTGAGTGAAAGCCATTTATTCTAATTAAAGTCGTTTTATTCGTGATTTGAATGACAAAAAAAATTTCAAAATTTTTTTTTCCCAATGTTGAGAAAAACAGGTTTCAAGTTTTTGATTTTTCGACAGTAGCTTATTTATGCTCAATTTAAGTCTTTAAAATTCAATTTTACGAAAAAAAGTTAGTTTTTGGAGTTTTAAGCGCCATCGAAGGAATCAAAAACTTCAAAAATTTGAAGAATTTGGAAAAAAAATTTTGAGAAATGAATTTTTTTGTTTCTTTTGTCATTTTTTTAAGATGTTAATTTGAAGAATTAATTTTCATTTCGCAGATTTTACTATGACTCACGAACGAAAAAACCTTGTCTCTACTTTTCATTCAGGTCCTGTTATCATACCGGGCCGAAAATGACACTTTGTAATGTAATTTTTTAAAACTATGGTCGGAAAATTCTGTGCTACTTGCTTCTGTGCTAGTAACCGGGTATCCTTGTTTTTCCTATTTTTGTTTCCCCCGCCAAATCAGGTAGCACAAATAATAATCGGAATGGGTGAAATGATACACTAAATTGAAGTGATTTCAGTCGTGATTTGCAACAGTTTATTTTAGGCCTCGAAAATTTAATTTGGGAAACCTGAAAACTTCAAATTAGGTTTTTCAAAAATTTTAACGCCATTTGAGTAATCAAAAACTTTGGCAACATTAAAAAACTTTCTTTAAAAAACTTTGAAAAAAGGGGATTTTTTTAAATTGATTAACAATTTCCTTGTGTTTTAGTCAATTTTCTACAACAATTTTTGTCCAATTTGTCTTCATGATCGTAACTGTCAGATATGTTTTAATTATAGATTGACATCAGAACTTTACATCACACCACACAGAAAAAACTACACTAAGTTTTAATGAAAAACTTTTTCTTGTAGTTTTTTTTAACATATGTTTGGATAATTTTGTGCTATTTGCGCAGCAGCCCTCTAGCCTTGCTATTATTTGCGCATTGGAAGGGAGGACAGTTTTTTGAAAAGTTTTGTCGTCCTTTTTTTAGGTCAGTTAATTTAGATTTTTCAAACTGTACCGGAATCTCAGGATAGCCATATTTGGCAAACGCTTTATTTTTTTTCTGGTGTAATTAAATTTGAAAAGATTGACGTCGAATTACACGCGCCAATTCGTTTTGATTAAAACTTTAGGTCCGAAAACTGTAATTGAAATTACAAATGATAAATCTTGAACAGTTCTAAGCAATTGTTATCTCCAATATTTCATGTCTGAAATAACCCAATTTAATAAAAATCAGCACTGCATTAGTTTATTCAGCAGAAAAGTAGTGGAAGCTCAAAAAACCACAAAAAACTGCATGAACAAATATTAACCAAAATATAGATTAAAAAAAATCATCAAGTTTTGGCACATAATTTTCAAGCATTTACTGATTCTTGCTACTTTCTGATCAATTTTTCCATTGTCAGCTAATGTTTACCAAATTTTTGTTCTCAGTGCCGAGAAAATTTCAATTGAACTTTTTGTATAAACTCAAGCAAACAAACCGAGTGATCAGGCTTGGAATAAATTGGTAGGCTTCTACTTAAGCAGTGAAAGTTTACTTTTTCTAAAAAGGCTGTTTTCGATTTTTTTTTTCAGTCCTTTCTCTTTGGCTGGGAATATAATGAGAAAAAAAGTTTAAAAAAGTATTTAAAAAAATGAAAAAAAAATTTTTTTTTCTTTTTTTTTTCGAATAAAACTGTTGCCGAAAAGGTTTGGTTCACCTTTGCTATCACATATAAGCCTAATTCATGGGTTTATATCCCCACATCGAACTAAAAATGCAACAAATCCGAAAAAAAATCGAACTTTTTTCTTAATTCTGATCGTAACATTCTGTGTTACCAACTTTTTTTTTCAAAAATATCTCATAATAAAATAATAATATGAGCAAAAAACACCCGTAAAACAGTTAAGAAAAACTGAGAAAACCTAAGCCAGATAAAACTATTAGCACAGATTGATCCAACCAGAATTATGCAAAAGAAACCTAAAATAAGGAAGAAACAATAAGGTTTTAATTTGATAGCACATTGCTCTTCTACGATGTTTGTTTGGGTAGTCAAAACCGAATATTTTTTTTTGAAAAATTTGGAAAGTTTCAAACAATTATCAAAAGTCAAACGAGAAGTTTCTCCGACCGCAAAAGAATTTGCAAATAAAATTTTTTGGAAAAACAGTTTGAAAAAATTTGCAATTGTTGAGTTTCAAAGTAAAAGTCTAATGGCTGTTCAATTTTTTTTCAGAAACCATTTCTGATTGACATATTTTGAAAAAGTAACCTAAGCTGAGAAAACCGTTTCAATAGGTTGCTTTCTCATTACGCTGTAACTTCTATAAATTGAAATTAGCTTTCGAAACTAGAAGTCAAATGTCTTTTTCGCGCCAAACTTTCGTTGTTAAAGATTGGAATTTGCATTCGATTCAGCAAACGAATTTGAATTGAGCTCAGAGCAAAAATGCATTTACAAGTGCATTCATATTTTTGAACGCATTTCTGTGTTTACTAGAGCAAAAAAACTCAAAAAAAACTAAAACTGAAAAAAAATCAAGAAAAAAACTGAATATAATTAACACGGCTTTTAATTCTGACTTCACTAAAATCCTTGACACTTAAAAACTGTTTGCTCTTGGCAGAAGTTATACTAACCTTGTCTGTGGCGTTTGTGTATTTGAGGTGTTTGGAATAGACACTTCTGATTTCGGCACAGGTGTCAACGACCGCCTTGACCATACCTGAACAAAAATTGAATTCAGATGCGAATAGTCATAACAATTCTTGTTCAATCATTTGAATCAACAATTACTTGAAATTTAAAAACAGAACTTTTGTTGGGAAATTAGAAATTACTTCTCAGAAAAAAACTAAAAATGAGACTTGTTTCCACTCTTTAGCACATTTGTTGCTTTTGTTTGTCAGAAGCATGAAAACTGGAGAGAATTTAAGTCCTAGAAGGAGACAAATAAATGTTGCCCACTCTTTGTTGTTCCACGGGGACGGTGGATCTGGTTGGAGGAGGGCGATTGTTGGATCTTTTGGTCTGGTGTGTTTTGTACCTAAATCTTAATGAGCAGCTGTGCTTGTCTGTGGAGAGATACCTTATCTATTCGCCCCGAATAACTGCCCTTTCATTTTTATCTCGAATAAAAAAAGAGAAGCACAGTAGAATAGGCCATAAAAGTAATCTGCAATTTGTTCCTCAAGGAAAAAACAAAACGCGCCACTTTTCTTCTCTGTTTTCCTAGTCTGATTAGAATACTCTTTAATTTAAATTCAGCACTTCCCAAATGCATATTGAATATTGATGTATATCCTTATCCTTATCTCACTTCAATTCAAACAATTCAGCCGCTTTTGTTGCGCATTTTTGTACTTTTAAGTGTTCCAAAGGCTGTTAAAAATTCCTGATAAGTTTCAAAACGCATAATTGTCCCAATTTTTGAAGTACCCTCTATCCAATGTATTCAGAATATAATTTAAGTTGAAGTGCATTGCAAGCGGAATTGGGTTAATCATATCAAGTTTGCTACTTTTTTTACCTAAATAAAATAAAAATTGTCTACTCAGCAAAGAGTTGAAAAATGAGGAATGCGTTTTTTTGATTCATTCAAGTTTTTTCGATTTAATTCAATAGTTTTTGCAAAAATTTGTTCTTCAAAATTTGATAAATTTTCGATTTCAACTATTGAATTTTGAAAAAAACGTCTGAAGCTGACTATTTAAGATGTACTGAAAAAATGCTTCCTGTATTTTTAATTTTAGGCAAGCATGTTTTTCTGAATTTTTTCGTTTTCTGAGATTTTCTTGATTAATTCAGTGGCTTTATCCCCTTTTTACTGGACAGGCCTGAGCATTGTGATTTGATCGCACTTTGCATTAAGCGGGGTTAATTCGGGTACAGAGGGTTGAGGGGTTAGTTAGTAGTAGGGGCTGGTAGAGGGGCGATTAGTTAAAGTGGGCTAGATGCAAGCCCTTTTCCGGGGGCGTTATTTTAACTGCTATTCCGTCATTCGGGTATGGGCGTTTGTATGGCGGGCGGGGGTTGTATGGATTTATAGGGGTATGGGGGTATATAGGAACATCAGAGTGTTTAGCCTGCAGTATGGGCTCAATGATACTTTGTAACTTTTTCAAATTTGTTATTCCGACCGGCGTAAATAAATTCGCCCTAAATCTCTCAGTACTGTGAAGTTAAAGTGAGCCGGTTTAATTTTTTGAATGAGCTATTCACTTTAAATTTCCCCCCGGATTTGTGTTCAATACTGGAATCAATCTCTAAATGGACTTACATTGTGTTTCTGTGTATTCTCTGGTCCCCGGAGACTGACTACTCGCTTCCAGCCCCTGTTGACCAAACTGATCACAGATCCCCCGCTCTGAAAAAGTACACCACTGCTAGAATACACAACCACAGTTAAACCCAGTACCCTTTTAGTACTCTCTCTCTCTCGCTCTCTCTCTCTCTCGCTACCACCATCGCCCTCTGAATCTGGAAGCTTCATCTAGCAGACAGCTCAATTGGTCGAACACCAGAAATACCTCACTTAATTCCCTTTTGCAAAGATGAAGCTAGTGCGTATATGTTGATTAAAAGTATGTTTGTGAAGTTTCTGCCAAACAGATTTGGTAGTAACTTAATCTCTAAAAAAGTTTCGTTTGCCAAAAAACCGAGAAACTTTTTTTTAGTGAAACAAGAACTATTTTATATCTCTATAATTTCACAATGCAATAATCAAATATATATGGAAGAACCAAAAAATATAATAAACAACTCAACCCAGAATAAAAGATTTTGAAACCAGTCGAGTTGCGGAAACCGTTAGGCAATATAACGTTCGATCTCCAGAAGAAACTCTGAAAAATTTTCGATTCAGATTTTCAAAAAAAATTTTTAAATCAAAATTTTGAAATTGAAGCAGCAAGTTCAAGTGCTGAAGTTTAATTACAACTTCAAATTAAGACTTCATTTCGAGTTTATAAACTTTTTTAATCCAATCTGCTATATTTTATCATTTATTGTTATAATAAATTGCATGAAATTTTGATATCTATTGATAATCAGTTTATTTAAAAAAAATTGGACTTTTTGAGCTATGTTGGTCGATTTGTTCAATTTAAGCCACGCTTAACTGCACAGAAAGGCAGAGCTGTACTTTTAGTGTGATTCGGTCGAGTATTTTCATTTGATTTGCATAGTATAAAAGCATCACTAATAGACTAGAAATCCCAGTAATAAATTGAATTAAATCTTCCAAAGGGGCTCAATGCAGCCGGTACAGCAAGAGTTGCCTCTCGACCCGGGCAGTCATTGGAAATTAAATTCAATTTGTGATTCTCGCTGCCTCGCGGCGCATCCTACAAGCGAAAAGTACTTAGCCAAAGTCCCAAAAGTGATGCAACGCAGAATCCCAAATGCAAATAGCCAGTCACAAATTCCAAATCTAATTTACAAACCCAAAGCATCAAAACGCAAAACAACCCAAAAAGACCTACATTCCAAATTATAAACCCCCTAATTGTACCCTCCCCTATACCCTCCCCCTATACCCTCCTATTTCCAGCCGCCTATTATGTCCCTTCCCCCTTCCCTCAACCCCCTCCCTCTCTGCATGTTTAACGCAACATCAGTAACAGTACCCGGTCAAAAGGGAAAAGCCCGAACATAACTGAGCATCAATTTAGAACCTCAAATCGTCTTTTTTTTGTAGCAGAAAACGAAGAAGACTTAATTGTACTGTACTAAAAAGGTACAATAAAAGGCAGTCATTTGAGTGACTGACGAGGGCCTAAATTGAATCGCGGTATGATTTCCTTAGAGATTTGCAGGTAGTTGGGAGAATCATTATAAATGTCTCTTTATGTCATTTTAAATAACAAGCTGGCGATTTTTATTTAAGGTTTCGAGTAACCTGATTAGGTCGGATCGCCCATTTTTGAATTTTTATTATTTTTCTCATCATAGCCAAAAGATACCCGTTCCCTTCAACTGGTTTTTAGAAATGCCGAACAACACCCCTGACTATATTGCGTTTTAGAGGATCCGACCATTGAAAATGGAGAGCAACTTGGTATTTGGGAGTGTTCTAGTTTTTTTTCTTTCTTCTTTGTTTTTCACGCAAAAGCAGATACCAGCAATGGCGGATCTAGTACTTTTTCGAGGGGTAACGAATTGTCAAAAAATTTTCGAAAAATAAATTTTGTCGACTTTATTTTCCAAATCAACCAAATTGCTTATCCAAACACTATAAATACCGTTTTTCAACAAGTTTTTTTTTAAAAAAAAAGGTAAAAAACCATTGATTTTTTCAAGTTTTGACCAAAAAACAGCGTTTATTCGGCGCGCTCTCCCCTTCAAAATTGGTATATATTGGCGCCAGAGGCGCTCTTAGAAAGTTTTTAGTTGTTTGGTTGAAAATGGATGTCATAAAATATTACCTAAAGGAGGACCTTTTGGTTGGCGGGGGGGACGAATGCCTGAGTACCATATTAATCCTCGGATTGGGTGGAGTGATTTATCATATTATAACCTTTCAGCCGTGATTCCAACGACATAGAAAAACTTGTTTACATTTTTTGCGTTTCAGTAAAGCGAGTAAAGCGAGCAGGCTTGCTGTAAAAAGATAAGCTGTGAAACTTAAGCTTTCCTCCAGCCTAACTATTTTTCAAAGATTTTTAGCGAAGTCATCTTGAAAATAAACGTTTTTCACGTTTAAGCATAGTATTCAAGAAAAAATTGAATGTTTTTGCTAATTTTTTAAAGACTTTTTTTCTTGACATATTTTGTCAAAAGCTGTTACTTAATTTAATGTTGTTTCTGCAAATCGCAGAAGAGCTATCAGTAGGCCTTAACAGTACTGTCAAGGATAGTCCATTTTATTATCGCCTTATATTCCAGACTGTATTATTTTGTTCAGCAAAGCTCTTTTTTTTTGCAATTCAGGACCGTTTTTGCATATATAATTTTCACGTGTTACCTTTTTTGCCGGAGTTGGTCAGGTTATGGTAGAACTGAAGCTAGAGCTCAAGTGAGAGCTAGTCCTCACAAACTATCATTGCAATGGCATGGGATCGAATGCACGATCTAACGATTTCAGAGGGAACGCCTTACCACGATGCTAAGTGCCTTTTTGCGTTTTTACTATTAATAACAAAAATAATTAAATTCTAGCGTTCATTCTGATCTTTCATCATACCATGCACAAAACAAACGACGCTAAATTGCAAAAAAAGGAAAAGTTTTCCAGTGAATGTTAACATGACGGAACAATCTGTGCTACTTGCAGAGCAACCGACTATCCTTGTATTTGAGATTTTTTTTCATTTCGGATAAAGTCATGAGCTTGCTTGTTTTAGTTGTTTTTTTTTTCTCCAAAACAGCCTTTATTAATATTTTATATTATGAACTTAAAATTTTGAGATTAATGGCCTTTTTTCCTGAAAATTAACTGAATTAAGTCATTACTAGTTACTTCATTAGAAAAAGGAAACAAAATTGTACGTTTTTTAGACTAAATCTAACGGTAAATAGAAATGATACAAAGAATCCAACATGTAAATTTCAAATCTGTTATTCGGGATATTGGACCCCACTTAAATCAATTTCAAATCAGCACCCTCTAAAGGGCAGGGCTCCTAAATGGGCCATCCCTTGTGTGCGCTACCATCGAAGACCACACCCCCCATTGAATTGAAGATTATGGCTGCACCCCTTACCTGATACTTAATTTGGGATTTCATTAACTAAATGTAATTTTGAACTTATCAGTGGGGCAATGCAAGTTAAATTGAGATAAGATGCACATTAGGACACGCCCTGTGAGGGGTGATAATTTATCAGATTTGATTTCCTAAAAGCAAAGGGAGACTCTTTAAAAAAGTCCCCCACTTGTGAATTTTTCCATTGTAATCAGTCCTGCATCGACAAATATATTGTCTAAAAAGCCTATTTTTATTTTTCAATATTTTCTTAAATCAAAAATTAGTAATTTTTGATGCCAGTTTTTTCTTTGCAGTTTTTGTTTCCTGTTAGAAAAACCTCAACAATCAGATTGAACAACAAAGGTAATTGTAGTTCTTATGTTACTTGAAAATTAGGCTCAATGAACAGTATTTTGAGCATTTTTCAAGCCTGTATATGCAATTAGGGAGAAACAAAGACTGCAAATACTTAGTAAGAAGTGCAAATTGATAAGATTTAAAGTAAAACAGCCAGATCATTTAGCTCGAGTCCGTCGGGGTTTGGTTCAGTTGAGGCCACTTCTGAAATCAACCAACCGATCGATTTTTTTTTCTTTTTTTTCTGTATTCAGCACACGAGGCGGCCGCATAAAATCTTGATCACTTCAGAGTTCTTGATCACAACCCCATACCCAATGAACCTTCTCAATAAACTTATTCATTTAACAAGGTCTATATTAATTTGTCAGCTTCGTTAGTCAGAGATCTTGTCAGAGATCTGAACAGATCTCTGACAATTTCTGACAATTTTGTTTAACAATACACATCTTTGACAATTTTTTTCCCCAGTAATCCCAAGGACTAGAGAAAATTATTACATTAACTAATTCAGATTTAACAAAAAAAACAATAAGAACCCGCATCTAAGTTTAGGTGTAAGTAATCGATTATAACGGATTATTATGATGATTTTTTGACAATTATAATTGATTATAATTACCAAAATTAGGCGTTTAAAGGATTTATAATTGATTATAACCGTGATATTTTTCAAGAGATTATAATCTCTTATAATCGATTATAATTGATTATAGTTCTTACAAAAAACCCTTAAAATCAATTGTAATCGATTATAATCGATTACAATTTCTTCTTTTGCCGAAATTTTGTCAATTCGAAACTATATTCGAATTATATCTTATGGGTTATTATTTTTGTGTCAATAATAAAATCTCTAATAGAGAGATCTCTTGAACACTTTGGTTCATCTGAACACAAAGTTTTACCACGAATCAAAAGTTTCATAGAGATCCTTTCATACGAGTGGAAAGGTTCCCGCGGTAGATGAAAAATAAATCTACCGAATCAATCATGAAACTAAATCAATTTGCTGAAGTTTTGGTGTTTAAAAAAGCTTATAATATGCATCATAAAACAACTCTACTGGGGAAGGAATAAAAAAAACTTGTAAATTTGAATTAATTGGAAAACTCTAAACATATTTTTCTCATTTTTCATAGGAACCAATGTCTATAAAAAGCATAAAATATAAGCAATTTAGATGCAACTTCGGGATTGTAATCAATTATAATCGATTATAATTGATTTTTGTGCAAAACTAATGAGCTAGAAATTTGAATTAAAAAATGGATTATAATTAATTATAATCGATTATAATTGTATCGAAAAATAGACGAATAAATATTCGATTATAATCGATTATAATGGATTATAATTGATTATCATTTGATTTTTAAAAGAGAGATTATAAACGATTATAAATTGATTGAAATCGATTGTTTTTCAATTTTAGTAAGACTGATACTAAAATTGTAATATAATCGATTATTAACGCTTGAAACTGGATGCGGGAAGCAGTTGTTGCGCGAAAAACGCAAAAAGTCCTGCCTCACTGAAATGTGTCAATTTTTTTGCGCATGTTTTTTCATTACGAGACCAAACTGTGCACTGGATAGGCACACAATTTTCTGTCTGTATGCTCTAAAGATGTTATAATTTTGTCGGAACGATCAATGGAATTAATGAACAACAGAAGAACAAAGGGAGCGTCCTTGTAGCGGAATCCGCTTACAATTCACAAAATGCACAGTTTGGCCTCGTAATGTTTGGCGCATCGAAAATTGGTGCATGTTTTTTCATTTGGTAATAATTTTTGGGAGAATTAGCGAACAAGTTCCTGTGCCTAGATGTCTCAAAATTGCTAATATTTGTGGGAACCTCAAAACTTGAATCAAATTTTTGAGATATAATTATAATTTTAATTGGCGTTTCTGCGATTCGCAGAGGATCTATCAAAGGACTTGCAGCCTGTAAAGCATAATCCGTTTTTCTTTACTTCCCCACATTCCAGATTGTTTTTTTTTGTTAAGCGACACTCTTTTGTAGCAACTCAAGGGCGTTTTTTTGCGTCTACGTTTTACCACTATTGCAGCCAAAATCGGTCAGTCTGCTGTGGACCTGAAGCGGGAGCTCAAGAGCTCTTCATCACATTCTATCTGATGCTAAGCGCTTAATCGCCATACCACTATGCTAAGCGCCTCTATTAGAGACAAAGACGTTACCATCAGTCTATCAGCTCAGATAGTGAAGTTTCAAACTTAATTGTCTCAAAAATTGAAATTGTTTTTATGTTTCAAAGTCTTTCATAAAAATAATAAGAAGTAGTTGTTGCACAAGAAACACAAAAGTTCCGGCCCCATTGAAATATGTCATTTTTTTGCCTGACGTAATAAAAAGTGCAAAGCAACAGCTTATATTTTGTGTGTAAGCTAGTCATTTTGACTACAATTTTCTTCGATATGAGACAAGAACAAGAAACATAAATGAACAAAACACCAAAAAAAATTTAACACTTTCCATTTTTTATATCCTTTTTATTTGCATTTTTTTCTGTTTACAAGGAAACGCTAGATGTTACCTCAAAAACTGGTTTTCTCGATCTATACAAAAGTTTTTATTTGTTTTATTAGTAGCCTTCATAGCATTTTTATAGCCAAAAATAGGAAAACATTGAAATTACTCTTGAAAACAAGAATTTTGCTTTTTTTTAAAGCTAGGTCTTTTATGACTTCTTAATAAGCGATCGATTCAGAACTGAAAAAAAACTTCGATAGGTTGTAGTACTCGATCAATTTTTGAAAACTGTTTCTAGCACCTAGTTTTCCGTGGAAAAACTCAAATTCTAAAGCCGATTTATTATCGTTCTCGTGATCTTTTTTAAACGAAGCTAACAACTCTAACAAGAAAAATCATTTGCTAGAAACAATAAAAAATGAACAAAATATTTATATTTAAACAATCGAAAAAATTACAAAAATTTTTTCCGATCGACTTCAAATTAAATTTTGAGAAATAGAAGGCAGCTGAAAAAAAAACTTATGCAGGAATCAGAAGTAGAAGTTGTCCAAGTATTTGTTAAATAATAACGTTATTACTTAAAAAGAAAATTTAAATAATAACATATCTTCAAAATTGTATTGCCTCTCAAGATCAGCCTCTCAAGAATTTATATTAATTTAAATTAACTTCCTAGAGCATTGCAACTAATTTTAGAGATAATTATCATTGTTGACACCTTTTTCAAATATTTTGTGTACCATTTGAATTTGGACATCAAATGATCAGTTATACAGCATAAGAACTTTCTCTAAATTTTGTTAAATGTTTTTGCAGACAAAAAATTGCTTAAAAACTGAAATTTTTGTAACAAAAAAGGTTCAAAGCAAAAGAAACGTAATATTTGTGCGCGGGGTGGGTTTTTTTTTCTTCAGATAAATTTCGAATTTTTAGCCAGCCATTTGTGACAGGTTTTTTTTGTATCATTCAAAAGTATAGTTGTCTTGAGCTTAAATTTGAAAAGATATTTCACCTGTCATCACTTTTCGTAAAGTTATGGGGGTTTAAGGTTTGCCATTTTGGCCGATTTGGGACAATTAACGCGCGATATATTTCGCGCTATTAGCGCGTAAGCGGAGATTAAATCCGTCTTAGAAATCGTTCCAAATTGGTTAACGGAAGCTTATTTGCCATAAACGATTTGTTAGGAGCGATTTAAGTAATTTAATTGCTACGTTAGGAGCAGAATCTATCACTTTTTACTTTATATGGCGTGTGGGGTGATGAATTTCACATAAAATCTCAAAGTAAAAAAAATCATTTTTTTATCACATTTATTTTTCATGTTATTACTGCTCCATAGACTTTAGGAGGCAGTCGGAACATTCAGGGCCTTGCCCTCATACAAGCAGTTTTGTTATCTTCCTTTTTTGTTGTCTTTTCAATGCTTCGCTATAAGCAAAGTGTGTGATTTTGTACTTAAAATATTTTGTGGGGAGGTATTTCACTTTGTACTTTAAATAGTTTGTGGGGGATTTTCATTACAAACTTGAAATAAGTTTCGCTTTTTTTCAAAATTTATTAAAATTTCACCCACTTTCTAAAAACTAGCACTATTCCGTATACCATAAAATGCAGTTCAGAAAACTCAGGGCTTCGCCCTGATACGAGCAGCTTTGTTCAAATTTAGTATATATCCTCATAGTCCGCCTGGCATAAAGTTTTCTCTATCGTGACGTTTTTAGATGACGCAGTTAGCTGCAGTTCTTGCGTTAATAAAATTTGCGTTAATTTGCTTAAACGTTATAGGTATAAGTGAGTGGAACAATTTAACTTTATAAATAGATTGGAAACGGTTTTTATCATAGTTTTTTATAATCATTTTATCCAGAATTTTTATAGATTATATACGTAAATTTTCGACTAACAAATAATTTGATTAAAAAAATGAAAATCAGGTTATAATGTTTGATTTTCAATTTATTTTTTGTGCTGAAGTTTGACTTGAAAAAAAACTATAAGAATTATTGTTAAGCGACTACTTTGCAGCAAAAAAAAAGCTGAGTATTAACTTTTTTTGTTGTTTTCCTAACTTTTTTTCGCTAAGAATATTGAGTTTTCAAATGGCATTGGAAGGAAATTCGCATTGAAGAAAAAATTGCATACGTATCCAGTGGATGCACTTTCAATTGTTGAATGCACTATGATTCTAGACTTGGGTTTTAATAGTTTACCAAACGTAGATGCGGACTCCCGGGATGTGTCTAAGGTCATTGATAACCAACCAGTATATCGTAAATGGTTGTGTTTCATCCAGTTCGTGACCCTGCTGACGGTCTTGTGGACGGACTTACCGTTTTAACTTGGAAACTACACCTATTTTTTTGGTTTTTTTTTTACCGATCACATACCCGAGATAACGATTCAAGGACTGAGTATCTAGGTAAGTATCAAAAAAATCAATTATCTTTTTTTTATTGAAAACATGAAGAGTTCTTGCCACTATGACATCTAACTTTTCTAAACAAAACGTTTTTCCCGCGAAGAATTTATGTTGATCTTTGGTGTCAAAATCTTTTGAAATCGGATAGTAAAATAGGAAGTTTTTATTGAAATTTAAATCTGCTTACCTGGGAATTCATTTTCAGTCGAGAGAATACTGGGCGAGGGAGACACACTAGAACAAGACATGGATCGTTTCCGGGCTAAGATCTGGCTTCGCATTGCGACCCGATGACATTTCGCGTTTTTGGTCCCTACCAGACCAGAGAGCCTCAAATTCCGCTTCCTATCCCGAATCTCCCGTTCGGTCGGACTACTGCGAGTGAACTCGTGAAATGGCAGCCCACGGTTCGGGTTTTTACCCGAACGCGGCGTGTTGTTTGAGTTAAATTTTCGGTTCCACGAAGTAAGATTTTTACTTGAGCTTCCGGACGAATTGAATTTATCTTCGTCGTCAGGTGAAAACGGGCTTTCGAGTTTCGGATCCGGTGGGTACAACGAGTTTTCTTTCACGAGAACAACCGAACTGTTTCCAAAATATAAGGGCGAATCGGTGTCTTGCTTAGCGAAGTTCAAGTCAGCTCGCCGAGCGGCCCACGACTTTGCCGACGACTTACTGTCTGGAAGAGCCAACCCAAAGCTTTTTTGCCGGCTATTACCCGAGAGAGTTTTCGTCTCGGTTCTTTTGCGAGCGATGCGTTCGATTTCGTCTTCGTATGACGTAACTGGTACTCGTTCTATAACTCCATTTTGCTCCATGTAATAACGCTCTGCAAACGACTCAACGTATACGACCCAATCAAGCTCTCGGTTATGACACGACAACTCATTCGCACACTGAGCATCGCTAGTGCTCGTGATTTCTTGCCCGCCGAGCGCCAAAACATCTTCGTCATCTTCGTCGAAAAACTTCGTAAGAGATTGCGGGACACCTCTACTTGAGACTCGGATCCCGTTACACTCGGCGTTCGTAGTATTTGCCGAACATATAATTCCTGAGTCGAACGAAAGCTTGTCGTGGATGTAGTGGTCCGAGATTGCACGTTTTATTGATAGCTGATTGGCAGATCCAAGCCACGTCGGGGACTCGGAGGTGGCATCGTTGGAGTCTGATTGATCACCGAAGAGCTGATTGACTGTTATGTCCATATTTGGATACAAGGACTAAAACAGTGGAAGTAGTACAGAATGTTCCGACCACAGTAAGAGTTGCACAAAATTCAGTATAAGAAATATTTCCCAAGTGTTTTTTTTTGAGTTACTTAATGCTTTGTTTTAAACGTGTGTGTGTGTGTGTGTGTGTGAGTGTGTGTGTGTGAGTGTGTGTGTGTGGGGGGGAGGGGGGGGAGGACAGAAACACTAGCCTTTTTGTAAAATGATCTGAAATTTCTTGAAAAACATTTCTTCTTCGGCAAAACTCAGAACTCACAAAAGTCATACAAGTTATGAAGAAATTTCACTACAGGTTTAAAAAAAAAATAACAGCAACGTGGATAAGAATCAGTGGTTCCAAAGTTGATTCAGCTGTCTAGATGTTTCGTGAGTTAACCTTTTGGAGCGAAATATGACACTTAACCCAGGTATAAATTTAAATTTTGAACTAAGCCGTACGTACCTGGAAGAACACACCATTCATACTTAACTAGAGCCAACTTAGCAGAGAGTTTAAGCAAAAGATACGATTTAGCTATTTATACTTGGAACCAGTGGCCAACTTAAAGACAAGGCTAGTGTTTGAAAACGCACATGAATCATGTTGAATGTGTGTGTTTTGCCTTAACGTAACAAAATTAACGTAACAGTCTGCTAAAACCCTTCAACAGTTTTGAAGCTATGAACGCTCAACCTTCTATCCACTGACTTTAAACCAAGTAAAGATTCTTTTACCATTCCACTTTCAAAACTACTAGCCATGCGCGAAATCGCGTAATTACAAACAAACCAACGATCGTTTGAGATCTAAAATTTTTCCTTTGGTAGTCAAAATATGGGTGTGAGAAAAATATTTTGGCAAACTCAATGTGATAACCAGACGCAAAAATGAAAACAAAATATTTGAACCAATTTCGCAGAAAACAGAAACATATTCTACGACTTTTATCAAGTTATAGCCCAGGAAATTTTCTTAACACCAGTTCTAGTATGTTTTTTCGCTTTGTATTTTCCCCCGAAAACTCTTTTCTTCGGAAAATGAACAAAGAAAAACTTAGTAGGCATAAAAAAACTTCAAAAGTCGCGGGAAATTACCAACGAAGACGAAGTTCCTTCCACTTCATAGTCGGAACATTACAAAAAATCCATTAGACAAATATAGAAAAAATAGCAAACATTTACAACCACCAGCTATTTTTGCAAAACTCAAAAGTAAAATGAGCAAACTGAATTTTTTTTAGCTCGAGGCAAAAAATGACACAGGCGACAATTAGTAGCCTTCACCGAAGCGAAAATTCGTTGCAGTGCAATTTGTCATAATATTTCTAGATGTATTTCGATATAAATTATTTTAGCAGTGCACAGCATCGAAACGGCCATGCGTTAGCGGGTGCTCAACATGCGGGCACTTTCATATGGAATAATTATCTGAATTATAAAGCAAAAGATCCTGATTAAATTGGTATGCAACAAAACCTCGCTTTTTTAATGCGACGATTTGTCGCTTGTGACTAATTTTCGCATGCAAAGAACTGTCGTAAAGCAGTTTTCATCATCGTTTTTTTTCATCCAGAGGTGTCAGGAGACATTAAAAGATATTTTATGAATTTTTCAATAAAAGTATAGCTGTAAAAACACTTTAAGTTGTCAGCGGTTGTAAGGGGTGATTCATCATCGCTTTTGTTTTTTGAGAGAAAAAATTTTAACAAGCATCTTTAGGCATCTTGAGGTAAAAGTTTCCAGAACGTTATTTTCAATTGTTTCAAAAGAGTCCGAACCACGACCTATATTACTTTAATATGACGAATCACTTAACGATGCATGAAGTTTTGTTGAATTAGCTAAGTTTACGCGAAAAAAAGGACCGCGGATTGCTAGAATGTTTTTAAAAATAATGCTTCTTGGTTGATTTGATTTTGAAAATCGTACAAAAAGCGAAATTATATAGCATTATTTCAGATTTTATAAAAACATTGATCAAAACTCGAAAAAAGACGTAATCTGATATAAGTTAATTCAATAGAAAAGAGATAAAGAAGAACGTTTTTGCTACGATTACCGAAGAAAAGAATGAACATCACATCTGCTTTTTTGCTCACAAATCTACATTAAAATAATAGTGTAGTTTTCAAATACTGTAGTAAAAAAATTTCAATCTGCCTAGTCGTTGTTTGCGCTTCACAAAAAATCATGAATTGGCCAATATCCAGAAAATATGGCTTTTTTGAATAAGAATATTAACGGAAATTTCATCAAAACAGTTAAAAATTTTTTATTTGTAATCAACCTGAGTTTATAAAATATGGCGTATCATATTTTGTGTCCTTAGCGCGTAAGCTGAATGGAATTATTCCAGAAAAGATTCCAAATTGGATTGAGGCATGCTCTTTGATCTACTTAAAACTTAGCAAAATTTATCACTTTGTACTTTATATTGCGTGTGTTGGTGATGATTTGAAAAAAAAAGTCATAAAAAAATCAATCAGACTTCGCCTTGATACGAGCAGTCTTGTAATTCATCGGAGAAAAAAGAAAAAATGTTGTGTGTTCTGTTGTTCGAATTGAACAAAGTAAAATCAGAGAAACCGTAAAATTTCACTTCATGAGTTCAAATAAGAAAGTTTTCATCTTAATTCATGGCACAAAAGAATTATCACTGAAGGTTGTGTTAAACTTTTGATTTTTTGCTTCTTAGGTTACGTAATTTAACTAGATAATAGACAAAAGAACATTCAATAGCCAATGGATCTAAATCCAGTCAGTTAAAATGAATTTTTTGTGAAACCAAGCCGGCCGATTTTTAAATTTCTTCGAAAATGTAACAAGACTGCTCGTATCAGAGTAAAACCCCGAATAATTCGACTGCCCTTGTATTTGTCTCGAATAATTTTTTCAATATATTCATTGGCAATTTCGAATTTTAGACTGATGATATCAAATTTTAAGTGTTAAATATTGAAATGCGTATAGAATTAATGAGACCAATTAGCTAATTGCCTCCATTCATTTTGGTTCAATTTTGCAGTGCGGAACAATTTGCCTGGTGCAAAAAATAAAGAGGTAGCTGAGAAAGTTTTGTGGCAGAATACTATAGTGTGTTCCGACAAGGCTGGGCCCTTGCAAATCAAGGGACTGGTTCCCAAGGCAGCAAAGGGTTTTGTGAAATTGGTCTGACTGAAAAATCTACACGAGCATATACAATCCTCACTTTCTTCGAAAATTGCACAAAAAATACAGGGCAAAGCCGTAGAAGTTCCAACAGTCTTTTAGTTTCTATGGAGTAGTTGAAGCTAAAAAAATTGATATGATTTTCAAAAAATTTTTTTGAACATTATCTCCCTACTCGATATGTAAGGTACAAAGTAATGTTTTTTGTATTCAGCAAAAAAAATAAGTAGACCAAAGAGCATATCTCAATCCAAATTGGAACGAGTTCTAAGACGGATTAAATCTCCGCAAATATATCACTCTTTAATTAATTCTTAATTGTTCCAAATTGACCAAATTGGCAAAGTTGAAGCTCCACAACTTAACAAAAAAAGATCAAATGGTAAAACGTTTTTTTAAATTTTGAGTGGAAAACAAAACCTTTAGAATGAAATTGAGAAAAACTCCAACAAAAATCGCTACTTATAAAGTCGAAATTTGTCAGGAGAATCAAAAACATTCGCTATTCAATTAATATTTTTCTATAAAATTTAAAAATCTATTGACTGAGTAACACTACTTAGAATCAAAAGTACTGCATTGTTATCTCAGTACTGATTGCACATCTAGATATTGTTTTCATGAGGAGGAAAATGATCAGATTTCATTTGGAACGTTTGTTAAGATCGCACTGAGACAAATTCTTTTAGATTAAAAGTCATTGAAGATTTTTTTTTTCAGATTACAAAGTTAATTCATTTCCCACGAATTTAGCACAAATGGCTATTTGGTCAGTTTTACGTTTAATGTGACAATGAATTCGTCCGCTGCATTTGAATTCTTTCATATTATTAGGTTTGCGTTGTTGTAACGGTGGTATAGAGTGTTGGCCTAGTAAGGGTCTACGAGCCAGCGCCTTTTTTTGTTTGAGTCAATATGGGCTTCATTTTTGATTTAATTTTAATGTAAACGGAGTAGCTGGAATGAAAAAAAGAATATGTTAGAATTTTAGAATGTTTGATAGTTAGAAAGTTAGAATATGCATTTATAACAGACGGTTTTTTAAAATTGTTTTTCTACTTTTATTTTGCTAAGAATTGTTGTTCTATCATTGCTACAAATGTCAAAAAAATTAACAAATTGTGCGCTGACAATTAATCTTTCAGACATTTGTCCGAATGAATCCACACTGGTCGAAATTTCTTGTTTCCAGACAAACCTCAATTTCAAATCTTAAAATTTTTCATGCGGTTTATTACGTTCTCTTAAAGCGTAAGCGGCAATTTAACCAGGTTAAAAGATAGTTCCAATTGGCTTTGAGGCAAGTATTATGGAACTATTAAGACAGTCATAGACGCGAACTCAAAACTTTGTCTTTGAAGATAATTTTTTTTCTTTATTTAACATTACGAGGCCAAACTGTGCATTCTGTGAATTTCAGATAGATTCCGCAAAAAGTAAAAATAAGACTTGTTGCGGAACCCGCGATAATGCTACTTTTTTAATCGCTCCAAAAACAGAATCCGCATGCTTGTTTAAATTATGGATTCCAGTAACATATATGATAGCACCTTCAAAATAATTATATTTTACCAGGTGTGTTTCATCAAAAAAATTAAATGCATAAGGGAAAAATGCAAGGTCCAAAATGGGGCAATAGCTAACAAGGTCCACAATTATTTCTCTAAAATACTGACAACTTGTTCCAAATACTTTTAACAATTCGTTGATTTATAGAGCGTAGCGGACCCCAAAGTCTCAAATCCTGACATTACGTTCCGTTCAGTTTGTTCCAGTTTAAAGTTTAACTTTAGTTGCATCTCAGAGACCGACAAAAAGTTCCGTTCTTTTCGTTCCAATTTTGC